AAACTATTTTTTATTGTAAGATATAGTAACAGAATCTTACAAGTAAAAAAATCACTTGCCTGCTCTCTACCTTTGCATTACAGAGAACTGGGGAGTGTCAATTCTGGGAAATTTTCTCATTTCTGGTTTGTACTAATTTCTGGTTTGTACTTGAGTATCAGATTGTTCTCTGGGCTGCAGCTTTTCATCCTGTTTCTCAAGGTTATTCTCATAGCCCATTATATCAACCCATAATCTTCCCACGTATTAAATCTACCAACCATCAATTCTTGTTGATAATTTTGAAGATTAGTATTAAAATTATAGGGTTAGGAGAGAAGTATTGGATTCACTAATGTAGAGTTTCAGCAGTCCACCTTATATAACATATTGCCCAAGTTACATCAGCAGCCAACACAGAAGATTGTGTCTACTGTATTCAAAGCCCTCCTAAAAGCTGATAATATTTGTGAACTATCTAGTGAAGTTCTTGTGAGTAAAACAGCTGGAATTTTAAATAACCCTATCCATTAGATAAAGGGATGCGGTGGCTCAGTGGCTCAGACACTGAGCTTGTCGATCAAAATAAGAGCCCTGGTAGCGCAGCAGACTAAAGCACTGTTATTAACATCAGCTGCTTGCAATTACTGCAAGTTCAAATCTCACCAGGCTCAAGGTTGACTCAGCCTTCCATCCTTTCTAAGGTAGGTAAAATGAGGACCCAGATTATACAAAGCTGACTTTGTATAAAATATACAAAAGTATGAAGGCTATTGCTTAATGCATTGTAAGCCGCCCTGAGTCTCTGCAGAAGGGTGGCATATAAATCAAATTTAAAAAAAAAAGGTTGGCAATTCTGCGGTTTGAATCCCTAGTGCCGCGTAACAGGGTGAGCTCCCGTTACCTGTCCCCGCTTCTGCCAATCTAGTAGTTCAAAACCATGTAAAAATACAAGTAGAAAAATAGGGACCACCTTTGGTGGGAAGGTAACAGTGTTCCATGCACCTTTGGTGTTAAGTCATGCCAGCCACATGATCACGGAGACGTCTTCGGACAGTGCTGGCTCTTCAGCTTTGAAATGGAGATGAGCACCACCCCTAGAGTCAGGAACGACTAGCACATATGTGTGAGGGGAATCTTTATCTTTACCTTTAACCATTATTTCCTTTCAGTTGTGATGATGTGGTAGAATCTGGAGCTGAAATGAGGCTCCATTGAGCCTCATGAGCAATATCTGCTTCAGCAGATATCTCTGGGATGGAGAAGACACAGAAAAAAAATCTCCACTAAAACTTGGAGTACTTATGTAGTTGTTTTCTAGTAAGTGCAGTTAGTATGTAAAGTTTCTTGTAAATAGGCAACAAACATACTTAAATGATCAGCTCTCAGTGTTATTCTGGTTCTTTGTGCCTAACAGGTAATGAAAATAGTGTTGCGATGTTAATTTAACATCTATTCTCCAGATATTATGTATCTGGAAGCTACATTGATCTACCTTAAATAACAAATTAAAAGTATCCCTATTAACAATGTCTGCAGAGTATAAGTAGCCCTCAATTTACAACCACTGGGCCTGGAATTTTAACACCAACCTATATGTTCATTAAATTAAATATAAATCAAATTAAAAAAAAAAAGAGTCATCATGTGGTTGGACCCATTCTCATAATCATTTTTATCACAGTCACGAAGTGAATCACTATTATCAGTAATAAATCACAAGTATTAAGTGAATCATGTACTTGTTAAGCAAATCTGACTTGTCCAACTGACTTTGCTTGCTGGAAGCTAGTTAGAAAATTTGCAAACTTATGAATATATATTTCACACATAAAAAAGAACAGACATATGAATGCACCACTATGGCCACTATCATTCTTTTTTAGCTATTCTCCATAGATAACCTGATCCAAGTTATCATTGTTATTAACATTATTTGTGTTTATAGCACGATACTTTATAATAATTGAAATTATAATGTTTATTAATATTATTTGACAATATTAATGATTTCATTAATGATTATATCATGCCAGATAATTAGAAAAAAATAAAATTGTTATAATGTAATTGAAGTTATAGTTTTATTGTTGAAGTATTAAAATTATATTATTTAGCACATTCAAATGTTTATGTGTGTATATATTTAAACAGTACCAGCTGGCTTAATGCTTTTGAATAACATAATAGAATCTGCCTGCTTAACTATTTTTTTCTTTGGGAATTTTTCACTATGAAAAGATAACAAACAATTATTTCTCATTTGAATATTAAATTGTCATTTGGAAGTATTTTGTACAATTTAATTTTTTAGTCAAAACAGATATTCATAAAAATATTTCACTAGCAGGATACATGCAAATCATGTAGCAGGTTAGATATTTTCACAAGTAAAGTATTGCTTGTGCTTTAGCTACTTTCCCAAATCACCTGTCCTTTTATGTATCAACCATAAATTATGGCCGCTTTCTTTTGACAAATACAATAACCAAAACAACACTTTAAAAATAAATCACCTAAATTACTTTTCTTCATATCGACAATTAATGTTTGCTAGTGTTAAACATAAGTGAAAAACCACTTCCACAAAATATCTGGTTTTCTTCCAGTCATGTTTTAAGTGTTGAAATGTATATAAGTACAAAGGTGGAGTGTTTAAAATCAAAGTCTCCCCGGAATTCTTTTCATTTTGAAGAATTGAAGAACAATTTACCAACATCAATGGACCATAAAGTACAAAAGAAAAGCAAATAAGAATTTAATAAAACTATTTTCAAGTAAAACGTTATTAATTTCAAAGAAATGGACAAATAGCATTCTTATAGAGCCTACAGTTTTAAAAAATAAAAAATAAAGAAATAGCTATTCTGTCCTTTTTTTACTGTATCACCTTTTAAGACATGAAATTAATAACCATAGTATGCATGTATTATATTTGATTTGTGGGGAGCCCATTCAGACTTATTCTTGATCCTGGGATATGAATCAGAAAAACAGTCCCCCATTTGCTAATATGGGAGCAACATAAAAGTTCAATGGAAACTATAACTTTTTTTAATGTTTAATCAGACTTGTATGAATGTTGCAGATAAATTAGAGCATTATAAAGTAATGAAGCATAATGCATTTGACAGAAATTGGTGCAGAGGTTTTTAAATTGGACTCTTCTCACCTTGTTTATTAAATGTATATACACTTCTTGCTTTTTGTAAGAGCAGATTGAAACAAAGGTAATTCGTTATGAGTTGGGGAAGCATACTCATTGAAATCAGTATTGCTGTGTTGGTATGTTGTGGTTTTATACAGTTCTTTTCCAAGAAAAACTCCCTCAAATCAGTGTCTATTGACTAAGGATGCCTAATCCTGTGTCAATGTAATCTGACTATCCCTGTCATCCTCTGGTTCAGAATGATTCTTTTGTAGTAGGTACAAAAGAAAATACTATTTAGAAGGGCAAGAAACAGAAGACATAACTATAAGGCTTATATTTTGTAGTAGTTAAATTATTGAATGAAGTCTGAAAATGCCTAGAATTTTCAGCAAAGAGCCATGGAAAGATACATGCTTGGCATTATGATTCTTGATTCTTTCTTTTATGTACATTGAGAGTGTATGTACCAAGACAAATTCCAATCACACTTGGCCAATAAAAAATTCTATTCTATTCTATTCTATTCTATTCTATTCTATTCTATTCTATTCTATTCTATTCTATTCTATTCTATTCTATTCTATTCTATTCTATTCCAAGACAAGGTAGAAAGACCTGCATATGCATTAAAGAACAAGAATGTAAAATAATTTAAATGTAAATGGGCTGGTTACATGGCAAGAAGAATTGATGGCAGGTGGATCAAGGCAGTCATAGAATGGATCCTGCTTCATAAAAAGCATCCATGAAAGAGACCTAAAACAAGATGTATCGACAACATAAGCAAGTATTGCAGACTCAATTGGCAAAAGAAAGCTCAGGACCATATTGCTTTGAAACATTTGGAAGAGGCCTTCATCCTGTTGTGAATAGATAATGGCTAAAATGATGATGAGGATATGCTTATGACTATGCTCAAGTTTACTTTTCTTTAAAGCGAAGAACTCCCCATTTTATCACTTTCATCCAATTTTCTCCTATTTCATTTCCTTTATTTAATTCTTCTCTTATTAAGTGATAATAAATCAAGAGATTAAAGACTTGATTCTCTGATATCTTTTGCTACTACTTAAAGGAAAAAGTTGCCTGCAAGATAGTCAGAAAATTCTTAGAAGGAGCAGGTATGGCAGAGTTTAACTACCTTGTTATCTATTGAGAGACCAGGTTTTTCAGCAGTGTGACTTCATATACTATTTGCTGTTTGCCTCTGGAAGGCGTGGTCGACATTCCTGTTTGGTTGTACATGTGAGAGTTGGCAGGAAAGTCAGCCCAAGAATTGAAAAAAAAAACATGACAGAAGAGAAGACAAACATGGAAAGAATGAATTGACTCTCAGGCAAACACTAAGCAGACTACAGAGAATGAGCACTGCATGTGCAACACTAATTCAGTTCTAAATAATTTTTTGAATGTTGAATCAAACTGAGGAGAAGATATTTAATAAGCATATTCTCTTTCTTCCTTGATCCTTTCATATATTTATGAGATTTATGACATAGTCTTGTCATTCTTTTCTTTGTTTTGCCATTTTATGTAAATTCTGAATTTGCTTAATTTTTTTAATATTTAAATATTACATATTGTATTTTAATGACACTGTGCAATAATTTACCAATATTTATTTTAAGAGCTACATCAAAAAAAATATTTATTTATCTATTTATCATATTTATATCCACCCATCTCACCAGAAATGATTCAGAGTGGCATACAACAATCAAATAAAACCACAATATAAAAACAAAAAAAATCATTGGAAAGGTGGTATAAAATCGGAGTATTTTACATATTTAGTTTATAGCTTTGTTAAAAAGTATTTTGTATGTTGCAATGCATCCACAATAATTTTTATTTGTAAAATTTATTTTAGGATGCTTCAATTGCTCACAGATTTCACATTATGCGAGAAAAACATCCAGAGAAGTTCAATAGCAGGTGAGAACTGATTCCCTCTCCTTTTTTTTCTTTGCATGACTGGAGTGAATTATTTTAAAGTAGAAATGATGTATGTGCGAGATAAAGAAAATTGTGATTTTTATCACAAAAATAAATTTATATTATCATGACGCCTGTCATTATGTCCACCAGTACTCCTGTCACTTTTATTTCTGTTCTGACCTTAATAAATCTTTGCATATTTATGATATAAATACTTTCTTAGTTACTGAGTTTTCTTTTGGAAATGTGGGCTTTGTAATATGAGTATAATTTTCAATATTGCAAGTATGTAGCTTAGTCAATTTAATTTGGTTTGCCAGGTCAGAGAAGGCTAGCTTGTGAGATAACAGGATATAATTACTCAAGCTCTGTCTCATGGAATAGTTGCATTTAATATTTTCTGTAAGAATTCAGATAAACAAGAAGAACTTTAAGTATTAATAATATTAACATTTTCACAAATTTGAATGTCACCATTATGTTTTGAATGATATTTATTCATTTATAGAGTTTATATAGCTGCCAATCCCAACCTTCAGATTCTAAGCAGCCTACAGTTCAACAAAAGAAAAAAAACTCCATAAAAATACTCACAGTAGCCATGTAAAAGCTCTCTGGCACCTTTTTAGGAAAAAATTGATTAAACCTAAATATATTATTTTGTGTTATTAAATATTCTCAATTACAATACGCTTACATGTTGTGTTGAATGATTGTACCATGGCAAGTCATAACCCATCTGTCAGCTCCTCCATGTTCTTCTTGCTGTAACACATAATGCTTTCTGAGCTTGAACATACACATTTCAATAGCTTATAAATACTTGCTGTAGATATAAAGTATCACGATTTTATATGGCTAAGAATTTAATCCAAAGAAGAATATAATTAATGTCTCTGCTCTTTCTTTAGTCTTGGGAGCAAATTTCTCTATCACTTCCAGCACTATGATATTCTGATTTTTATGCAGCTTGTGGCCCCAAGAAGCCCCATTAAATTATAGCATATCCATTACTTTTAAAAATAATTTTGAAATGCTCTGCTTGTGTGATAATCCATTTGATTTGCTTATGCTTTTTTAAACATGTATCATATTTATGCAAATAAAAGCTTTGTTTTGATTCTATCATAGTTTGCATTTTTAGAAGTAGCATTATTCAGTCAAGTTGTTTTTCATGCCTTTGCATTAGGATGTTTTCAAAATTAAACTCATTTCCATTTTATTCTTCAGTTTGGGAAAATATATGACAGGGATTTATGGTTATGGTTTTATGAAGACTGCAGTCCTTCAATGCAAGTCTCAGTCTCTAAGCTCTTATAAAATAATTTATGGTACTGAGCTGTTCTATTGCTTCTATACTGCTATGGCCACAAATAAATATTCAAGATGCAAAAATTGAGGTAACGTCATCCTTGACAAGTGTGAGGACTTGTGGAGCCACCTTGAGCTCTCCATGTACTTATGATCTGAGTTGCTAATGTTTTGCCAATGCAAAATTGCTGAATGCTAATGAAATATAGTAATATACAGCCTAGCAGGAGTTACATGTATCCTTTCCTACTTCTGTAATACTGTTTTTACAGTAACAAAACACAACTGAATCACAGAACAAAATAGAAATGCTTTTCCATTACATTAAGGAGTTAGCTGAAACTGTTATTCTTAGAGTAGGACTATATAGATGTCTTCTAATGTCTCAAATTTATAAACTATATTTACTTCAGAGTAATAAATGTTATTGCATTATGTTGATTTTATATTCATGAAATATAAACAGGAGGGGTCCCAAAGAATGATTCAAAATAATGAGTGAGGCACATTGCTGACTGTGTGAAAGGATAGGAAACTTCTCTACCATATTTTTCTAAACTATAATAGGAAACAGTCTGAACTAATGAATAAAATTATCAAAGTGGCTCATACAGACATTATACATACTTATATTTAAGAACATGTTCTATTGAATCAAACATATACACAGTTTTCTTTTATTTCTAATTGGAATAACTTTGAACTCTGCTTTAGAGTTCTGGTCAAAGAATATAGCTTTATAATTAACACTGAAATCATTTAGCTTGAGGCATTCATTTAGAAAAAAAACATACTGTTTGCAAGATATTTAAGCTTTCTGTGGGAAGATTACATAAAATTTCTCAGTTTATATTAGGATTCATGCTCATGTCTTATATTTTTAGCATCTTTTTTCAAACTAGAGCTTTTAGAGATGAGTGATGGCATTAATGAAGAGGCCTCTGTCAAATGAAAGTACCAAAAATGTGATTTTGAGAACAAGCATGATTTCTTGCCTTTTTTTTTTTTGTACTAGCATTACTATTCCTCAATATTTAATGAATGAGAGAGAAATTCTTAGGTAAAAAAATCTTCATTACATTTCTGAGGAAAATTAATATAATCATGTATGTTAAGAATGAAGAGCTAGTTTGAATGTTGTCACCTGCTCCTTAGAAGTTATTGGAAAATACAATAAATTATTATTTCATCTAGGGAATCTAATATCCACAGAGTCTAGTAAGCAATATGGACACTATTATATGCAGCTGTTCCTCAGTGATATAGCTACTCTAGTTCAAGCTTAATTCATCCAAGTTACCCACATAGAAGAGAGACTTGAGTAGATGATATCAGTGCCTATATTTCCACTAACGGTAATTGCAGAAAAAGCAGCAGAGGGTTAGTCATGGTCCTGAGGCACATCTTTCATTGAAGTTGTTTTGTTGTTTGACATGAAACAACAAATAATATGTTTGAGCAACTGATGCAAAAAATCTCATAAGTCTTTCTTCTATACAAACTAAATTTTAATTCAAGTTGGGGTGCTTTAGTAGCATTTTTCCAACTAAAGCCTATGGATTAACTAATTAATTGTATCTTAATGGGTTTAGTGGGCTAGGCAATGGACAGTTCAGTTGTTGTTAGATTTCTGAAGGGAGTTCCATTTGATTCAATCAATAGAGGAAATTGATTAATTGATTATATGCTGCCAAATCATTGTCAGTTCTTAGCAACCATATTGACTTTTTCATGACAATCTTTCCCTAACTGGTGTCCCTCTGGTCTCCCAACCATGCACCCATCATCACTGTAACTGAGTCCCACCAACTTACTGGTAGTTGTCCTTTTCTTGTTTTTTCCATCTTTCCCAACATTACAGCCTTCTCTAGACAGATAGATCTCTGAATTAAGATAATTTAAGCCTTATCATGTGTCTCAAATGAAAACTCTGGGTTGATTTGTTTGATGATCCATTAATGCATTTTCATGGCTGTCCCTGATAATCTGATTTCACTTTATAAAGGGCTATAGGGATATTATGACTTGAACTTCTGATGCTTGTCTAGGTAAATACACATCACAGATTTGAATATGTTCTTCAAAATCTTCGTGGTTGCTCTACCAAGTGCTGGCTGGTGGCATATTTCTTGACCGATTCGTCATTGATTGCATTGTAGCCAAATCAGTGGTGGGATTCTGCCAGTTCTAGGTGGTTTGGCTGAACCATTTGTTAAATTGCTGGCTCGCCCCACCCCTTGCCAATAAATAGTGGGGGTGGGCGGGGCAAGGGGTGGGTGAGCCAGTAATTTAACAAATGGTTCGGTGTTTTTTGTAATTTATTGGCCTCACAACACACTGAACCATTTGTTAAATTGCTGGCTCACCCACTCCTCGTCCTGCCCCACCTCCCACCCGCGCAGTGCCAGCCTACCCTAGCCCAGGGGTGGGCAATTGTGGCTCTTTTACAACCTGTGGGCTTCAACTCCCAACTCAGCTTGGCTGACTCAGGAATTCTGGGAGTTGAAGTCCACAGGTTGTAAAAGAGCCACAATTGCCCACCCCTGCCCTAGCACATCCAGTCACTGGGGGAGACACACAACTTTTCTCCGCCTTTGAACACTGGCTGCCCAGGCTGCAGCCGAAGCTCCGCATCGTAATGGGCTCCAGGAGGAGGAGGGGCGACGTCTGCCCCATTGCGAAGCTCAGTAAGAGCAACAAGAGCCAGCTGCAGGCACAGCCAGGCGGATGCACGTGCAGTGGGGCACAGGCTTAAGGTGCTGCCTCCAAGCCGAGGGGCAACCCGATGGTGCGGTAGGTGCGCTGCTGCCGCCGCCCGGGCAGGAGAGCAGAAAGAGATGGAGAGGAAGAGAGATGAAGGAGAGAAAGGGGGAGGGAGAAAGAGAGATGGAGAGGAAGAGAGATGAAGGAGAGAAAGGGGGGAGAAAGAGAGATGGAGAGAAAGAGGAAGGAAGAAAGAGAGATGGAGAGAAAGAGATAAAGGAGAGAAAGGGAGAGAGAGAGATGAGAGAAAGAGATGAAGGAGAGAAAGGGGGGAGAAAGAGAGATGAAAGAGAGAAGGGGGGAGAAAGAAAGAGATGAGAAAGATGAAAGAGACACACAGAGATACCTGTTTAAAAGAAAATACTGTGAGCCACAAAACCTGGGTGGGAATAAGTGATATGGAGTTGGCAATGTCCACCCAGGTTTAAGGTTGTGTTTAAGTGTTTACACTTAAACAGGTTTAAGGTTGAATGTTTAAAGTTGCGGACCCCTGACCTATCCCATCCGATCGCTTCACCCTGCAGCCAGCCCTGTAGGCCTGTGCCCGCCTCTCACCTGGGCAGCAATGGCCTACCTACCCCGGTTGTATCACCTTGCCCTGCAGCCAGCCTGAATGCCTGCTCGGACTGTCTCCAACCACTCCAGCAGGTCATTTTTATTTAATTAATTTAATTAAGAATGCTGCAATGGGCATAAATGATGACTGGTCAAAAGTGCGAGGACCTGTCAGAAATCACTTTTTTCAGTCCTCTGGATAGTCCCTATGTTCATATGACTACTCAGAAGGCTGAACAAGTTATATTTGACCGATCCTCACACTTTTGACCAGTCCTTGAACTTACGACTATCCTCACATTTTACGTTTTGCGCCCTATCTTGTCACTGTGGTTAAGAGAAGTAGTGGTGAAATGACTGACACAATT